TAGAAGCCTTCGACTATATATTTCAATTAAATTTTTTTCTTTTCTATTTTTTTTTTATTTTTTAATATTAGAAATTAAACTTTATAACTTATTTTAATTTATTTTTTAAGAGGAATTATAGTCTTATGACTTGGTACGTGAATTGACAAGTTAATCTGAGTGGATCTGAATCGATCTAATAAATTATCATTTTAATATTTATAAAAAAATTTCATCTTAAATATTTATTTTAAGTAAAATTATATTTTTACCGGTCATTTATGTTACTATTAAACTCATTGAATTGATCGAGTCACGTCAAATTAAACATTATATAATTTATTTTATTTTTTTACTAGAAAAAACATTAATAATGCTTATATTTCTTTTATATTAATTTTTTTATTCAATCTGCAGCGTGCTGTGAACCAACGATCTAAGTGGTTAATAAATGGTGAGGTTTCAAGTTAAAACAACCGGGTTGATCTGAATAGGTGAGTTTTGGTCCCCAAATGATGCTTTTCAGTCACCTTTTCATAAACTAATCTACTGGTCCTCAAACTTTATTTCAATCACTTTAACCTTTAACTCTTGAAATCCAACAATTTCCCACATGACCTTTATTTACTTGTTAATGTAAAGAAAATTCATGCTTTGAAATGAACTGTCTGCGTGCTGCTTTCTTGAAAGACGATAAACAAGTGCTTCGAAATTGCATGCTTAACTTCGCTTGTTTAAAAAAAGAAAGGAAGAAAGAAAGAAAGTCTTGATAAGATCCCTCTGTTGGCCACTGGCATCCCAGCTTCCTAGAAATTTCTTCCAAACAAGCTCACATGGCCTTGACGTCAAACGGCAGATTGTTCTTGAGACCTTCTAGCTAGACTACACTAAATGATTGTGTGTGAGAAGAACTGGGCTCTGCCTAGCTCCTATAAGTCTATACATTTGGTCCTTTTGTACTGTGACTCAGAGCAATCACGTTTCTGCAATGGCTTTTATTCTGAATCTTGGAGATATATTAATTTCTTGCCACTCCCCACCTCCAGAGAACCTTCACAGGGATGATTCCTGGCATCTGCCTAGGCAAAATTTCTTGTAAGAACACGTACAAGGGCATCCACGCAGGAGAAAGAGAGAAGGGAAACTTTGTCTAGCATTTAGTACATTAAATGGTCAATTCTTGTTCTTATTCAAACTCGATATCGCTAGGTCACTATCAGTAGGGTCATGCATCCATAGACAAGGAATAGGATTCGTTAAGTTTTGCAATTAATGTGCAACGTATCGTGGCCCTGGATTCTTTTATTGGACGGTGAAGATTGCTGGGTCTATCAATTTAACTTTTCTCTGTAATGAAAAGTAAACCAAACTCTGTTATACGTGGAGAATTATTCAATGGTGGCTCCCATTTAGAACACACCAATTTCCTTGTGCTTTCCAACTCCATTCTTAAAATTTTGATGATCTTATCAAAGCCCATCATGCTTATATGCAACTCCAATTCTTCATCTTCAAGAACAAGCCATCATCTTTTGATCTAATACTAAGCCCTTTTGCCTGTAGTGGTCGATATGGACTTGGATTGTGAAAAATATAGGAAACGAAGAAAAACCACGGTTGAAGATGATCCACAAACAACTGGAATGGAGCTTCTACCACGGGAGATTGCTCATGATATACTTTCAAGATTACCCATCACATCTTTGATGCAATTCAAGTGTGTATGCCGAGCTTGGCGTGCCTTGGTGCAGGATCCTCAGCTTGTAGATTTATATTTGTCTTGCTCAACTCAGGATACCGATCATCCTTGCCTAATCCTTCACTGCGACTTTCCCATCAGAAACAATCTCTATTTTGTGGATTTTGCTGCTCACGAGGAAGAAAAGGAGAAGGTGAAGAGAATTCCGGCACCCTTTTCCTCTATGATGCCAGAATTTGAAGTGGTAGGCTCCTGTAACGGTTTACTGTGCCTATCTGACTCATTGTACAATGATTCTCTTTATATCTATAATCCTTTCACAGGCTGCTATAAAGAGCTGCCAAAATCCTTGCAGTATCCTGATCAAGAAGTGGTTTCTGGGTTTGGTTTCAATCCCAAGACTAAAGAATACAAGGTAATCAGAATCGTGTATTACAGGAATGGGCATGGTGGCTACCCTCGGTCACGTAGAATCATTTATCCACTATCGGAAGTCCAGATTTTAACGCTAGGCTGCCCTGAATGGCGAAGTCTAGGCAAAGTATCATACCGGCTAGTTCGCCGGGCTTCAGGGGCCCTGGTTAATGGAAGGCTTCATTGGATTAGCCGCCCGTGTAGAAATAAGCCCGCCCGCAGGCTGGTCTCATTCGACTTGACCGATGAGCAATTCCGAGAAGTCCCGAAACCGGACTGCGGTGGCCTAAATAGGTGCAACTATCACCTAGTGGTTCTGAGGGGTTGCCTCTCTGCTGCTGTTTATTGCAATTATGGAAGATTGGAGATTTGGGTCATGAAGGAGTACAATGTGAAGGAGTCTTGGGTTAAAGAATACAACATCGGGGCTTACATGCCCAAGAGCTTGAAACAAAATCAGGACCGACAGCTAAAGATATGGAAAAATAGTTCTAATGGAAGGGTTGTTGGAGCTCTATGTGTCTTGAAGAATGGTGAAATCCTGCTGGAGTATAAGAACAGAGTTCTGGTTTCTTATGACCCGAAGAACGGAAAGTTCAAGGACATTGAGCTACAAGGGGCACCAAATTGGTTTCAAACAGTAGTTCATGTGGGCAGCCTGAATTGGATCGATACTCCCAGTGATGCATACAACCGAGGATCGGATACTTCTCCATATGTGAGTTGATTACTCCCTGCTCTGCAACAGAATCCTGTTTCTGTGTTAATTATCTGCTTCATCATCAGGTTATGATCAAATCTTACATGCTTGGAGACTTCAGATAACAATTTCTATTTGTGAATATATGAATATTGAATATAAATATCGGATCAGTCACAACACAAACGAATATTCATTCAATTCCAAGGTTCAATAATCCTCTTGAATTTGCTAGATGATTATCAACAAGGACCGGACCACTCATCGTATCATCGGAAATTACTTACTGCAAGGTTTTGCAGGCTAAATCTTGCCGAGAGAAATTAGAAATCATGCTTGAATGGCTAAATCCTGCTAGTTGTCTTTGCCAAACTTTGACTGGTTCAGACTAACTAAATAAAATCCTGTTTACAAAGCTAGATCGGCCGAGCACTATCTCGTTTTTTCTTTTGTTGAATCGAGATTATAAAAATAGGAGGAGGTTAGGCAAGAAAAATGGTACTTGAAACAGCCTCTTAATTATCAGCTACCTAGAAAGGGGCACCAGAACTCGGCTAATTTTTCAACAGGCACCAACCCACCATCAACATAACAACTATATACTAACATAAAAACAATGTTGAAAATTGAACTCATGCTTCTTTACCAAACATTCGATGTATATGGGAAAGAAGCCTTTATCTAAGAGTAGGTCACCCAAAACATCCCTCCGTTGTCCCATAGAAAAAATAGCAGCACCCATGATGAAAGATTCCCTTTGAACAGATTTCTTGCCTTGAAGATTTGCCGATACGAAAACTTGCAAAGTAGTCTGCTTTTTGATGACCTTTTTCCTTGTTTCGACCATCAAACCAATACCACCCTCGTATCCTATGCCTAATGCCTTTTATTTTGTCTTCATCAATCTTTGATATGAAATTATACTCTTGAGAGAAAAGCTCGACAAGTAGCAAAACTTGACCAGTGGAAAATCTCCCACCAGGTATAATTTCTTTTACATATTTCCTTCACCACAGCCCCCACCTCCCTTCCAGGCGTGTGTGCAACGCATGGATGACTGATCCATGCTTTCAATGAATGACAGCAATTTCTCTCATCTTTATGGACATGACTGGGACGTTTTATATTTTCTTTGGTAAAAGAGGGCCCTGAGGCCAAAGAAAGAAGCAGGTTAAAAGCAACATTGACAGGAACATGGCAACCCCAGTAGAGTAGAGAGAAAATGCACTGCAATGGTAGCTCTCAAGCCTTGATTACACAACAAACCTGCTCATTGATTCCCTTTACGATAAGTAAGACAGACTGATCAACAATTGAAAAGCATAGGACTTGACTTACTCATGTTAATTGTTTCTGCAAACTTTAATAAAAACAAACCCCAACACATATAAAAAACTTCGAAATTCTCGTCTATATCATTATCAGAATGATTAAGTGTATAAAAAGGAAACTATTTACCCCAACAGGTAGATTAGTGATGCAACCTTGGATCTCATGTTTATGACATCAGCTCAACACTTCTCAATATCCTCTCTTGATAACCACAAAATTTAAGATATTTTCTCTATATTCAAAGGTTTAGAGCTGAGATTGTGCTCACTAAAAGTGGTTGATCTCCAAACTAAGAATAATGATCTCTCTCCCCTTGTTCCTAGATTCAACTCTCACTGTCAATCCTAACTACTTCACTAGAAGTCACAGGAAACTTCTCTCCATTCCTATTTATCTTCTTATTTTCCTCTCAGCAAATCCTTAAGTTCGTTAAAAAAAAATTAAATGGTGATTTGCAGTGTAGGCTGGCAGGGTCCGACCACTGCAAAAAATAAAAAGTTCCTCGCTTTCGCGTAAGCAGTTTAAAAATTAGTTTTGGCCCTCTCTAAAAAAACAATTTCTAATCTTAATCCCCTCGAAAAATAATCTAGCTCAACCCCCAGCGATATGCCTTCAACTCTAATCATGTTTCAATACGAGTGGCTCTACACGAGTTTCTTGTCACTCCATCATGTCCTCATGGTTTTTAGGAACCATGTTTCATGCAACATTATACATGTTAATCCATTTCTTTTATATATAGTACAACTTGATATGAAACATCAAAGCCATGCAGAGAGGAACCATGTCGAAGGGTTGGGGGGGCATGGGTGCCAAACTTTGAAAACAAATGCATTTTATTCCTAAACTTTTGAAAAATTTTAATTATACCATTTAATTTAAAGTTCATTTTATATAGAAAATACAGGTTTTGCAATACAAAAATCATAAATCATCCAATTGGCACCCCAATCCTAAATTTCTCGTTCCAAGTATACGGCAGCACCATGAATCAATGAACTCCATTTCTGTCCATATGAGCATTGGACCTAGAGAAAACTGTTTGTGAGCTAATCATACCATCCAGTGATATACAGAAGGAATAGAAATGTCTTTTTGATAATTTGCAAGGCAGATTGTTGGATGAGAAAGAAAACAAAACTAGCCTGTCAAAAGCAAAACATGAAACAACTATTCTTGGCGAAAGACGAGTTGGAATTTATCAAGCTTGTGTGCCTTGCGCTAGTATACACCAACATGATTGCAGGGAGATTTCTTTACCGGAGTTGTCGAAACAGATTCTTTGAGAAATAAGAGAAGATATTGTCCATGTAACTTTCGTATAGCTTTTTCAGTACACGATGCTCTAACCCTGACCACCACGGTCTTGTCTTAGACGCTCTAACACTTGTTTTTCACCAATGAGAAGCTCTACCAATCCTTCCAAGTGAAAAAGAATATATTAGGGGAACGAAAATGACAAAGAAACAGGTTGAATTTATTTTTAAGGGACCCCTTTACTTGCCAAGAAAAAGAAAAATGATGTTATGTTCACATGCATATTTTTATCAGCTAAGATTCATTGGTTAATGGGAAACCACCTACCAAAAACAAAAGAGATGGTAAGCAAGCTGGCGTAACATAACACAAGCAGTGCGACAACACCAATGTTTACAAGCAATTGATAATGGCAGGCAGATCATTAGCTTAAGAACAGTTGCCAAGTATCCAGATCACATAGCATGACAGAACAGGAAATGGATTTTCATAAAATAAGTAAATGAAAAGAAGAGATTCATTATTACCATTTGTATAATCACGACAGTCGTGATGGCCAACCCTCAAATCCGTTCTCCAGTCACTGTTAAATTTAGTTGCAACATCTACAGCATCTAACTTCGAGGATCCAACAAACCAACATTTTCTTCTCGGTAGCTTTGACAACTTCCGCACAAGAACAACTCCTGTAAAAATGGTTAGAGAACATCATACACAGAAAGTAGGAGAGAACTTTGTTCAATAACGTGCACGGCCAAAATCATTATAACCATATAGTAGCTTTTAACTATACATCATAGTAGTGCTAGCTGAAAAGGATATTAAGTTGATCTTTTCATGTTGAAATGACAACAAAATTGTGACTCAGTAAATAATAAAAGATTATTATGCGCATAATAAATGAATTTTGCACTATTTTTCACGGCAAGTATTCATATATTAGAAACATCACATCAAGAACTTTGTTCACTGATTTGGAATGTAATGGACTCATCTAGGCCAAGATACCCCGTAGCGTCCAAAACAATAGAGTTTATGCATGATGGAAATCTGACAAAATTTAATCAAACATTTGTTTGAAGGGAAAAAGGTTTACAAACAATAGCAACCCTCACCTGGTATTGCTCTACCTGATAGAACTGAAAGTGCAGTGTAGATATTTTCAGGATCTTTTGGCTGAAAATCAAAAACAATAGCCTACAATACAAATAATTGAACTTCAGTGTTAGATTTCAGCTTCTAAATATTAATGCAACCCCTAATACAGCATAAGAGCAATGGCGTGCTGCCTTGATTAGACATGAATAACGAGATTTTCGTTTCGTATGGATAACATGAATTTGCAATTCATTCCATGAATAACAAATATTCTTTCTGTTGTTGGCCTTAATAGCTTAAGAATTTGACAAAAAAATCAAATAGATTAATATGAGGTACACTGGTAATTAACAATCTACCACCGAAAAAAATTATTCCCATCATCTACAAGAATGTTAAGCATATATTGGACCAACCCAAAAATGGGGGGAATGAATTTCAAGGCCCGGAAAACAGAGGAGTAAGAACGAACTAGAGAATCAAGAACCTGAGAATTTTGAGGAGGTGGTAAATTGGGTTTGATGATAACCACAAAGTGCTGCAAGTCCCAGAGGTTGAGAGAGTAAGCAGTAGACATAAGCAGCTGAGCGGGTCCTTTTGTGGCTCTTAGTGGCGTTGCTGCCACATACACTTCATCTTTGCCTCTTGCTAGTACTGTAGCTTTAGCTAACGAAGCAGCCATGTTTTTCTCCTGGAAGAGCAGGAACAGATACCATTCACCGGTATTATATTCCTTTTGGGACGTGATAGAATGACATAATGAATACGTGGCTAATAGAAAAAATAAGAGTAAATTATTTATGAAGGATTTATAGAAATTTGGGAACCTGATTGATAATAAATTTATAGATTTGGAATATAATCGATAAATTTACATATAGTTTTTGAACTAAATTTACATATAGGTTTTTTAATGATATAAAAATAAAAAAAATAAAATAACTAATGGATTGTAATAAATTACCCATCAAATGAGTTATTCATCATGTTTTTGGGCTTAATCAACTAGAATCTAATATTAATATACACCATAATCTAAAATTATAACTTTCAAGAAATTTATTATTATGACCAGCCTTATTTGTTTATATATAAACTATTAGTATGTTATCTAATTTTTATATTAATAATTATATTTTATTTTTTACATCAATGGTTATTTCTTATCAAATTTATATTTTTAATGAATATCTTTTTTTCTCATCAATTGTTTTCAATATCAATCTTTTCACTAATAGCACAATAAAACATAACAACTAATATGCCTTAAAAAAACATCAATTATACTTCATGCCATCATTACTCCACTCTCCATTAGATTAGTATCAACTCTCCATGATTAACCTCATATAATCAATATCTATAAATATATCAAGTCACTAAATAAATAAAAGAGTTTATTTATAAGGCCATAGACCAATAATAATAATCACATATATACTCTCTTATATTCTTCACTTTCCTCTACATTATTTTTTTCTCCACTTATATTTATTAGCTTAAGCATTAAAGGATTTTTTTTATATCAATAGAAAAAAAAATTAGGAAAATAATAATGGTTGTGGTCTAGTTATCGATTGACTTGTCAACTAGTAACTGAGTCTAGTAATTTTTTCAACTTACAAACTAGTAGCCAACTTCAATTACCTTAGTTAGCTCATAAAACAACTAAAAAAAGGCTCAAGGTCTAATTTAATGTTTTTCTTAATCTTTCTTTCTAAAATACCATTTTGATTACTTTTTAATTTTAAAAATTTAAAAGGTTGTTTATTAGTTTTCTAAAAAGTAATAGTGATTTTAAAGAATTAACAATTATAGACTATTGAGAAACTAAGTTAAGGTTTTGAAAATTAAATTAACTAAGTTATTATATAAAAAAATATAGTAAAATATTATATACTATCACTCTTTGCAAATTTGGAATTCTCCCCTCCCTAGAATTTTATTTTTCCTTAATGTAGATAGGATAAAAATTGTTTTCATTTGTTGCTAGCTAATTCTTCCTTGATATATATATATATATATAAAGGTGATGTGTGAGGATGTAATGGCTCTATTAGCTATGAAAACATTAAATATAAGTAATATATTGAATCTTGATAAAGTTTATCAAAAATCTCAATGGATTTGGATCTTTCTATAACTGGTGTATGGATTGGAAATTAGACTACTAGACTCAAACTTTATAAGCATTTGTAAAACAAGTTCTTTATTATGTTTAATGACTTTTTAATAGGAGGAATGAAACATTTGAGGTTCAAGAAAGGAATGTGAGGTCCTTTCTTAAACTTTTTTACCTAATGGCTCATGGATTTTTATATAGTCATACGACATATTAACTTACTTAAAGAAAAGACTGGTAATTCATTATTAAGTGAGGATGATGACATCATATGGGTGATCTCTAGGTATAGGTATGTTATAACACCATTATACAGGCTCTATTAAAATAAAAAATTATGTAACCATTTAATGAACATACATTTTATTCATGTAGTTAGAGATGATTAAACCATGTTTGACTAGGAAGTAGTGCACCTTGGATATAGTAGTTAAATTTGAGGGCATAAGTTTTATTTGAAAGGATGTGTGGTTGATCCAACAAGGAAAGGGAATGCAAGTTAGGGTCCATCATGGAGAAGGAAATAGGACAATCTTGTAAGGAGATAATGTTGGTTGAGTTATATCCTATAAAGAGGTTATGCGAACCTCATGATTACATGATCATGTAACTCATAAAAGAATTCAAAATCAACCCAAAAAAAGTAGAATATCAAAGTTTGAAATCCCGACCCAAAGGTAAGTATTAGAAAAACAACTCGAACCTAAAAATAACTATGTACTTAAGAACCTAAAGTATGATCTTTGATAAATCAATGTATGATCTTTGTCTCTGCAAAGAAAGGTTGTATGTAACATACAAATCAAAGAAAAAGTCTTGTTTAGTTAAATTATCATAGCTTCCAAAACTGCATTCATAAAAGCAATATAGAGTCCCCTCTAAATAAATCTAACGGACTCTTTTTAGGTTGCAAGTAAATGAATCCTATCTAATAATCAACTAACACAAGTTTATTATTAAAATAAACTCTAAAACAAAATTTAATGCGCCAAAACAAATCTAATTTAGAATAAATGTAACGATCCCATTTTTTTCTAGACAAAAAAAATCCTTGATTATAGAGATATTTGAATTTTTTTTACAAGAATGCTAGCCTATTTCAAATTAATAGGTGCTTTATTGCAATTTCTATAAAAATTCTAACAAAGTTTCCCTTATAATAGGATATCTTAAGTTATTGATTTAAAATTATTTCACTTCTATACACATCCAGTTTTTTTAATCCAATCATCCTAGATGATAATCCACATCAATCATTAACCATTAATTTCAATTCACCTCAATAACACCTCCAAATGATGCGAACCTTGTGATCACATGGTCACGCAACCCACACGCAAAGATACCAATTCCCGGAAAGCCAAGTAAATCAGGTTTGATAGGAGTGTGACACAAAGATAACTTGTACCTAGGCACCAGCACTATTGAAAACAGAAACCCCCACCCAACGAATATTGATTCGCGAACGAGAAGTATAAGGATGACGCCACGAAGCTAGTTGTTCTTCAATAAGTCGTTTTCAGTTCTTTAGAGAACCAAGGAAGGGAGATTATCCTACCAACACACAATAACTGCAGCAAAGAAGTTTTATTAATCTGAAAATTACGTCACCTTTACATGTTTGGGTTATGCCTTTATTTATACTGAATTTGAACTTAAAGAAACCCTAATGGACCTCCCTTAGGTGGACTTATATGTAGCCCACTTACAATTGACCCAAATAAGTAATAATAACCCAAAAACTAAGAAGAAAATACTAAAAATACTAAAAATCCGAAAATACCATCCTAAATAAGCTAGAATCAGATTTGTCACCCTTAAGAAGTCCTAAACAAAATTGGAAAAATCTGATTTGGAAAATTTGTGTTGCTGCCCCCTTTGATGTCCTTGATTAGCTTGGAATTCCTTGTTTAACTTGGACAAATAAGAAAACAAATTTCCTCCTTTGTTGCTGATTTAATTACTTTCCTTCCTAAGTGAGGAAAAGCATTAAATAGTCCTCCCCTCTTTAGGAATAAGATTTGGCACAGCACAAGGACTCATACTCTCACGAATGTACCCCTTCATCATCAACTCATCTACTTGCCTTTGAAGCTCCTTCGTCTCCTCGGGGTTGCTTCTATAGGTTGGACGGTTAGGAATTGAAGCTCCGGGCACAAGATCAATTTGATGTTCAATCCCCCTTAATGGTGGTAATCCATTAGGGATGTCTTCAGGGAATACATCATCAAACTCCTGCATCAAAGAAACAACCACACTAGGAATAGCAGAATCAAGATTGTTAGTGTTAAAATAAGCCTCCTTATACACAAGTAAGATCATTGGCTTATTAGTAAAAAATGCAGATCTGATTTGAGATCCTTTTGCATAAAAATTAGGTTGTTTCTTTAATTTTTCCACACTATTATCATCACACAAGCTTACTTTCTTCACTCCTCGGTTTTTACCTCCACTCTCAACCGGTTTAATTAATGATTTAGGTTTAGCCGAATCTGATGGTTTTCTCTCACCATTGTCCTCACGTGAATTTTCACTCTTCCCATTCTCACATTCCTTTTTTAATTTGATTTGATCATCATACACTTGTTTCGGAGAAAGAGGTACAAGAGTGATGGTTTTACCATCCTTTACAATAGTGAACCTATTTCTGAACCCATCATGAATCGCTTTCCGATCAAACTGCCATGGACGCCCCAAAAGTAAGTGACTAGCATGCATCGGGACGACATCACATAAAATCTCATCAGAATACTTCCCAATAGCAAACGCAATCAAAACCTGCTTAGTAACCCTCACTTCACCACATTCATTCAACCATTGCAATCTATAAGGCCTAGGATGCTTAATACAACTCAGATTCATTTTCTTCACAAGTGTATCACTAGCAACATTAGCACAACTACCTCCATCAATTATCATGCTACATACCTTGTTTTGGATGTGACATCGAGTGTGAAATATATTTTCCCGTTGCTGATCTACATCATCTTCTTTGATTTGCATGTTCAGCGCACGTCTTATAACCAAAGCCTCCCCCTCAACAGGGTATGCAATCTCCTCATCGCTACAATCCATCAAAGGTGGCATCTCTTCACTTTCAGATTTCTCACTTTCAGATTCAACATCCCCATTATCTCTTATAAGCATAACTCTTCGGTTTGGACACTGAGATGCAATGTGCCCCTTCCCTAAACATTTAAAGCATTTAATATCTCTATCACGAGTAGGTTGAGATTCAGATTTACCTTTTCCATCCGTATAAGTATTCTTTTTGGCCTTAGGTGGTTCAGCCTTTGCATAAGGCTTTAGTTGGACAGCCCCCTCTCTTTTTAAATTCAGCCTCCATGTTGAGGAAGATGAAGCCGAATTGGTCTAAAAACGTGTACTGCCCCTTCTCTTTATTTGTCTCTCTACCTTCGTTGCCATATGGACCATGTCTTCCAATTCCACACAGTGTTGTAATTCTACAACATTTGCAATGTCCCTATTCAGTCCATTTAGAAACCTAGCCATAGTAGCTTCCCGATCCTCAATCACGTTGGCCCGAATCATGGCAATCTCCATTTCCTTGAAATACTCATCCACGGACCTAGAACCCTGATTCAAACCCTGCAATTTCATATACAAATCTCTATA